CAGGAACCATAGTTGGGGTGTTCATTTAGTGAGAAATGAAGGGTGTTGGGCACGTGTTTAATGCAATAACTGAGAGAACTAATAGACATGACATGACCCTCATATCAATGTGTTTCAGTGGTGGTTAGAATCTACCTCATGTTACCAATGCCACTGTCCTAAATTATTTCTAATTTGGAACCAAGTTTGCTGCTTATTAGTTGCTAATGATATGAATGAGTGTATATAGTTAGTTGACCACGTGTATTTGGTTCTTCCCAATGGTTGCACATGATTTCTTCCCCAAACGGTATCCAAAAAATGCAATCCAGTAGAAAACAACTCGATGTTTAAATAATGAAAGAGTTAACAGAGAGAATTCTAATTCATGGAAATTTCAAAGGTAATCTCACTTAGTGGGGTGTTGCAAAGATGGCATAAGTTTGGAAAGGAATAATGCATAAATGTGCAATCTTTTTATCGACTATGCCAAAAGTTGTTGCTCACTAATGTGATTAGGAATAACGAATATAACATGTCAGAAATCGAAGACCTTTCTTGTAATTTAATATTATTGAAATGCCTACATGCATGAAAAAAAAAAACCTCCTATCTATTTAAAAAAAAAATGCCTACATGCATGAAAAAGAAATCATCGATTTTGATATTAGTATGGGAGAGTGCTTATTTTTAATGATTGTATACAATCATGGCAGATATGACATAAAAATCCGGTAAATATAATATCGAAAACCACAGAAACCAATCGAAAGATGTAATACAAGACAAGTCTACAAATATATGGTCATTGGTCTATATTGTTTTTGAGATAATAAATTGCAAAAAAAAAAAAAGCCTATGGAAACATAACAACCGTTAAGATAAAAATAAGTACGGTCAAGTATAATGTTGAAGGTTGGGAAGTTTCTTAACCATAAATTTATTGATAACATCAAACAAATTTTTTGAATTTTCAACTGAAATAATACAAGTTGATCAGTCTTCTCACTATTGTTCAGTAATCCATCTCATTTCAGTCCCTCTCTCTCTCTCTCTCTCTCTCTCTCTCTCTCTCCCCTAGGGAAGGTGAAGAGCAAGAAGAAGACATGGTCTCTACTCTATATTATTGAATCAGTCGTATAAAAAAAGTTTTTTCTTTGGTGGAAAAATGGCGGATGCTGGCAAAGTTATTGGATGGGGAAAAGCAGCGGTAGTCCTTGCAATCAGCAAATATTTTCAAGATTGGCTTCCAAGATTGAAGAAGCCTCAAGATGAGAAGAAAAATGTTCCCATGTTGACCCAAGAGATTGATGTTCCGACGTTGACCCAGGTTGGCAGAGACTTTAGGGAAGTACTTGTTATCCAAAAAGCTGAGATAGTTGAGAAGAACAAGGTCTAGTGCATGCGTTGGTTTGGTTGCTGGTAACTATTTATTTGGTAGTGGTAACTCTTTTATTAAACCAATCGATTTGTTATCTAAGCTTGGAACTTTATGTTTAGTATTAGACATTTAACCCATCGATGTTCTAAACTTATTATGGAGATACAAAGGTTCGAAATTTAATCTTTAAAAAAAATAACAAAATAAGTTGATCGTTGTGATCATCATTTGGTTCTTGAAGCTTTACAAAAGAACGATTTTTGCCAATTGAAGCAATATTATATAAAGCTGATAAGTGCTACCTGAATTATCTGATGATTAGTGACAGAAGAAAAGATTTCCTTTCATGGTAAAATTATTTTTGGTCTATTCAAATGGAAGACAACATATTATATTCTGGGGGTAAAACAAGCTCAATATAGATGGGTCTACCACAGGACAATCTGGCAATTCTGGATGGGGATATGTGCTATGGGGAGAAAGTGGTGCTATTATAATTACTAGGTGTTTCTTGCAATAGAAGAAAATGCTTTTATTTTAAATAAAGAACTGTTGCGTGATTTTTAGAGAATTTTTGTTAGATAGTTTCTTTATGGTAACATGCATCCGTCCGTCGTGGAGTTTCTAGAAAACTTTTGTATGCCGGACTCTTTTCCTTTTTTGTAAGTATTAAGCACAACGTTTTGTACTTTCTTTTTATACATTAATAAAATTAGGAGGATAGAATCCTTGAATTCTCAAAGAAAAAATATTATATTCGAATTCGATATCTTCATATTAGTATAAGAAATTTGTATGTTTTCAATTTATTAATGTAAGACTCATATGCTCTTAATTGCTCGTATATAATAGTAAAAAACTCTTTTGTATGTTTCATGATATTACAAAAAGAGAAAATATATATATCTATAAATATACATGTGCTTGGCTAGAAATATTTGCATCACTACTTAAAAGCGAGTAACCTGGCATGACCGCTTTCTAATCGCATTCTCCAAACAAATCGACTAGCACTACTTTATATAGATGATTCTTTATTGGTTGTTTATTCAACTCATCATTAAAATTTCGTTCATTAGACTAAATTATGTAACATATGTTATTTTCTTGCATGTATGAAAAATATATAACAATAAATCATTAGATCAAGTAAGTATTTATATAATATATATGTATACATTTATAAGAAAAATGACAAAAAATAAAACAACAGATTGAATGAGAGTATTAAACTATATTCCATCTTTATCTTCATATAGTATATTTATGATCCATTTGTTTTCTGATATTAATAAGATACCATAGATTTATCGTTGGACTTTAGAATTTCTCTTAATGCTGTAAGGTTTTAGTTCAGTCTCTAAAAGAAAAAGAAAAGAAAAAATTAGGTAGATAATTAGGTCATTTTATCAATGATGAATTACTCATCAATTTCTTAATTTACTCTCCCATTACAACAAATATATCATAATTTTTTTGTCTCGAAACATGTTTGGATATTTCTTTTTTCTACTTTTAGTACAATTCACATTACAAATGAAAATTCAAACCGGACAAATGGAGAATAGTATATTTCTTTAAACCCTAATAAATTGTTGAAGAATTAGAATATAGATGTAGGCCGAAGATATTATTCATTAAACCCTAATAATTTGTTGAAGAAATAGATTACTGATGTAGGACCAAGTGGAATGAGTGATGTAAATCGAATAATGGAAAAAAATTGTCTTGTACTTTGGAACAGTTTTGATGTCTCTTCGGGGAATGTTGGTGTTTGGAATCTTATATCAGAAAACTTGGACATATGGTATCCCGGCGAAGAGATAACATACATGAAAGTCATCAATCATGAAGATCATATCAACAAGGTAGAATTGCTTAGGCCTTTAAAATGCTCTCAACTGCATGCACTGGTAAATTTGCAGGAAAGGAAGAAAAAATCATCCGCCGTCACAAGCATTCACGGAAGCTTGAAGGTGCAGTTGAGGCTGATGTTGATGCTTTTTATTGTCATTTCTCTATTTTGGTGATGTTACTTTGGTCTAATTACTTGAAGATTATACATATTTTCTAGGTTTGTAAGTTTGATAGGTTTTAGTTTAATTTAGCACGATATCATTATGGTTTGATGATTCAATTTTATTCTTAGGCTCAAGTATTTCTTATTCTACTGTTTTACCTGATTCAATGCCAAAACAGTGATACTATAATTCTGTAGAGCTATTTATCTTATGTTTCTAGTAACATCTTGACAATGGATCATAACTAATGTGACAACGCTCTAAGTCGATTTATTTGAAGTCCAAGGAGAATCGTGTTTTGCGTATTATTGTAGTAGTTTTCAAATTTGTTATAGTTGCAAATGATTAGCAAAGAAACTATTTCTTAATCCCATATGAATGAAATGTGTTTTAAGAAATTGTTTTTCAATTACTTGTTACCAAAATAAATAAATGAATAAATAAAAATCACGATTTAGATATGTAAATTAGTTCTATTATAGTTTGATAAGACCAAATTAAATATATAGGAATTATACTTTTCTACAAAAAATAAAAATAAATAAATATCTAGGAATTTAATAATTTTCAAATAAATTTTACAACATTTGTTATCCTACAAGTTTTCCTTAATCAATTAAAATAATTAAATCCTGTCTTGACTGATACACACCTACCCCCGAATTTTTTTCATGATGACGAAGTTCAAATATCTGAGAATTTTGTTGATCTGGTGCCAGATATTTTTTTCTTTTGAAATCAATTTTACAAATATAGAAGAAAATTTATGATGGAAATTGTGTATATCTTTCCAATTAAATTTTGCATTTTCTTTTTGGTAAGTAGCAGTCCACCTGATACTGTAATTAATTTTCAATTACACTAATATCATAAATGCTATATTTTTACTACTGCGATCTCATCATTTAAATATAATGAATATTTATCTGCCTCACTAAATTACCAACAACATTCGAGCTGTCATCCCCAAAATGGATACAATAAAAATACAGTTTATTACAAGAATTATTACGATGGTATTGTCTTATATTAGCACAATTAATCGGTTTTCTTGAGGATAATTTACCAAAAGTAATGAAACCTAACCAATGTTTAGTGGTGGATAAAGGTTTTTTTTTTTTTATTTAATGAAAGAGAAAATAACCAAAAAAAGATAGAGATATTTTTTTTTAGTGTATTGCAAATCAGTTTTCAAATGATTTTTTTTTTGGTGTACTAAAAATAACACAATAAACCTAACAATCATTTTGTGTGGCAGGGGAAGTATAATTTTATCTGTAGATTTGTTTTTAATTAAGAGGATAGGCTTTTTGAAATGTTTACTATATATGTTGTTTGAATTATTACAATGAAAAATCATCCTACGTGGCTAGCTAGATAGCTAAAATGATGATGATTATGAATAAAAAAGAATATCTTGGGAGCATTAAATTGCAACATTACAACACTAACCAAAAAAATCCTCCATTGCATTAAAATGAATAATAACAGCAAGGAAGAAATATATGTTGATAGAGACTGATAATATGTATCTTTGGCATTAAATTGGTACACATGGAAATTCCCATTATATATAGCAATCATCCATATGAAAGAAACCATCCTTAAGAATTCCATATAATTCTTCTTCCCTTTTTTCTTTTTCCACATCCTTTTGTGTTTTGAGCAACCCAAAAAATGGCTCGTAAGAAGGTAAAACTAGCTTACATAGTGAATGATTCAGCAAGGAAAGCAACCTTTAGGAAGAGGAAGAAGGGCTTGATGAAGAAGGTGAGTGAATTGAGCACTCTGTGCGGGATCGATGCGTGCACTATAATCTACAGCCCGTATGAACCCCAACCTGAGGTGTGGCCCAACCCAGATGGAGTCCAGCGGGTCATTGATCAATTCAAGAGGATGCCGGAAATGGAGCAGACCAAGAAAATGGTCAACCAGGAGAGTTTTATACGGCAGAGGATTGCGAAAGCCGGTGAACAGCTGAAGAAAATTCACATGGAGAATAGGGAGAAGCATATCACGGAGGTGATATTCCAAAGCCTCATTGGAAAATCGGTTGAGGAAATGCCCATTGCTGATCTGAATGATGTGGGTTGGTTACTTGATCAGAATTTGAAAGGGATTCAGAAGAAGATGGAGTCTCTCCAGAAGCTGCCACCGCCGCCCACCCTACTAGATGGGCTGCTGCAACCACAACCATTATTGCAACCACCACCGGTGGTTGCTCCTATGGTAGCTCTACCTCCTAATACTAGGGGTGCATCTTCATCATCAATGCAGGGGGGTATGGATGGGCCCCACATGACACAATTGTTTACTGATTGGATGAATAATCCTAATGATCAAAACATGGGATTTGGTAATGGGGAAGACATGTTGATGCAGCTCCCTGATAACCACAATTCTATGGGGAAGAACGGTTTTTTCCCTTGATTTAAGTTTTAACTCATATGGATTTAGTCCATCATATCTCAAGGATTTTAGTATTATTTGTCTCGTGGTCTTTATGTTTCTGTTTTTTTTTTCAATAGTTTTTTCATGTAAGGTTTTTAGCTTGTGTCTTTTGTTGCCATTAATCCTTTGATCTTAGATCTGGGAGTCTGTAATCTGTTATTTAACATTTTTCGTTATAATATATGAGTCTTTTATTGTTCCAACTGATTGATTTCAATGTGATGCCTTTTCAAAGCCCCCCAAAAAAAATGATGTAAAACTTGGTTGTCGACTATAACCCTACTTAAAGACTATAAAACAATTAAAATAAAAACGACACCAAAGATATGACGTGATTCAAACTATACAAAATTTGGGCTAACATACGGTTGTCGAATATACTCGATTTCGATAAATCTTTAACATTTTTTTCTTACCAAATGAAAGAGATTTAATGTTTATACTTTCATTGCTATCTTCAATAAAATATGCATACAAAATATATAAGAAAAATAACTATATAACTTTGTCCCATACAAAATGAACCAATATACAAAGCATTCAAAATTTCTTATGAACACTTTTGTATTTACATCAACTAATTAACATAAATATAAAGTTTGTTCATTCATATGTCAATAATGAGTAACTTTCTAACGTTTATGAATTTTTATTTTGTTCTTCTTTATTCATTGTTCAATTTTAAAAACATTTTGACCACAATGTTCTCTTTTTTTTTTTTCTTTGCTAAACTTTGGAACGAGCCTATTCATGGGCCAAACAATCAATGGCTCTTTTATGTTTTCCTTTTCTGAAAAGAAGTTAATTTCATTATCATGTAAAGAATACATATGTGTTCTTTTGTTAGTAAATAGTAAATTTTATTACCACGTAAAGAATTACGTGTATATCAAGTAAAACAAAAATTTTGGATATTCTTATTGAATAGTAAATTTTTTTATTGCAAGAAGATTATAAACGAGTCTTCTTTAAATAGTGCAGTTTGTTATCCATGAACAGTTACATATCTATCAAGTAAAACTCGCTTGTTAGGTAGTTAAATTCCTATAGCCAAATTATGATGGCTAACCAGTGTTATTGGTGAGTGACTCAATACAAAGGTGGTAAGTCTTAAGCATTGCCAAATCTATTTCTTAAATTAGTAAATCAAGTGTCAGCCTTGCCAGGTACTGCCCTTTTTTAACCGAAAAAAATTTAATTAAATTCTGGTGGTTTGAAATGTTCTGTCGTTGATTTCAACCCCAAATAGAATATTTATATAACCTATTTAAAACTATTAACTAGTGGTAAGCTGGTCGTTCCACAGAGACGGCAGTCAACCACTGAAAATCTGATTAAAGTGCAAGGAAAAGAAAGTAAAAGAGATGAACAGATTTGTCACTTGGGAGAGTGAAAATAGTCACTTGACAGAGTGAAGATGCAGAAAGGTCAATCACCTTCCTATCTTTATGATCCAGTCTTGATTCAAATAATCCTGTAGTGAATGATTTATTGTTTGATCGGGTAGATTTATTCTTTACAATACCTCTCAGATAGAGTAAAGAGTCCTAGATTACTAAATGATCTATCTCTCAGTCAGATTATTGAGATTAACCTAGGCAACTAAATTCTTAAGCCCTATTGATCACCTATGCCAATCACCTAACTCTCGTTGATGATTGAAACCAAATGGTAGATTTCCTCCTTTGTCATAGAGTAATTTAAGACGTTCTAGTTATGTTTTCCCTCTTAGATCTCTATAACATACATGAACATTTAATTAAGTGTCCAATTTAATCAAAAGGTTAATTTAAGCACTTAAACTAGACACAATACCTCATCAAGGAAAACTGAATCAAAATCTTCACATAAAGATAGTAGGGATTGAACCCTCAACTGATTTAGCTACTCATGTTTATGGAGTTAAACATGATAGCACACAATGCAAAAGATAAGACATAATTCAAGATCAAAAGGTTAGAGGATAGAAGGGAAAGATGGTAGTAGTGCAGTCACTGTCTGATCACTTTCGTGAGTGGCGTTTGTCACTTGACAGAGTGACAATCTGCACTCCTGTTCCTGCTACTACCCTGTTTCTAACTAACTAACTAACAACCTAACTACTGTTTTTGTAACTGATTCTAACTACCCAATCTGTCCTCCTTAACTACAGCTATTGGCTAACTATTTATAGAGACTTGGAGAGGCTTGGATTGGTGGATTTCTGGCCTTCCTCGTAATAGATTAGAGGAGACAACAAGTTGCAGCAGCCAAAGGCATTTGTTTATTCAGCAACTTGCCCAATTGTCTTCTCTGGTTAACTCTTTCCTTCTCCAGCTGCAAACATCCATCTTCTACTCATCATTGTTGCTTTTTCTCAGTTTTCTTCTCTGGCGCAGTCTCACCATTTGCAGCCACAAATCTCCATTTCTTCATTCTTTAATCCTCATAGTTCAATTTGCAACAGTCAGCAAGCAGCAACATCACCAGCATGCTTCCTTCCATTAGTGTTTCCAGCCCCTAATTCAGTCTCAATCTTCTGCCATTTTCTTCCTTGTTTCCTGGGTCACTTGCTATACCATTCGTCACCCTTTTGTAGAAGCCAATCCATTAACTCAACAGCAGCATCAGTTGGTAAGTAGCAGAGTTGCAGCTGTTGTTCTTTGCATATTCTCCCTCTTTCTCTTCTTCCACTTGTAGCAACAACAACTTGTAGTGATGGCAAAACAATTTTCTTCCTTGGGCACCAAGATTTCAGCTCGTGGCCTCCTCTTTGATTGACAGCAGCAAGAGCTACTGCTGTAGAAACTTGGCAGCAGAGTAGTTGCCCGTCTTCTTCTCAATTGAGTGTGCTACTGCAGATTTTTCCAAGTCGTGATCATGTGCTGCCATTCTTCCTTCCTCGGTAAGGATTTCTCCACTTGCTTCAGCTCTGATCGACCTTCCAGCAACTTCCAATTCAGTTCAAAATGATGCTCTTTTGTGCAATTTGACCCTCATTTATCCTAATTTTTTGGACCACAAAATCAACCAAAAAGTAAACTAATTCTAATTAATTGACACCTGATACTAAGTAAAAATGAGTAGAAAATTCCTACTAAAAGTGTATAATTTTTATTGTCATCAAATTCCCCCTTCTAATTTCAGAAATATGTACGTTAAGGGACATACTTAGCTGTATTTAGCGAAGAACTAACATTTATAACTTTATCGAAATTCTTTTATTCTTTATACTTCAAAATTTTGAAAAGGAATGTATTGTAGTTAGATCTTTCATTCTCTTCCTCTCTCGGTGCACGTCAACTCACCCTGCTTTATCATATGCCAACAATGGCGAAGGGGAAGCATAAAGAAAAGAAAGGCACTAAAACTATAGTTCTTGAAAAGGAAATTGAAGACGAAGATGATTCACCAATGGAATTGAGTAAAGGAAACGCAGAAACAATAGATCTGGGAACTAGGGCTAGCTCATCAAGGAGTCAAAGAAGGGTGATGGATAATATAGAAGGGGAAACATATCTGAAGGTCAGCAGAGTTTGGATGAGCAAATGAAGACACTGAGTGAATTATTTGAGGTTACTACAACAAGAAAATCCAATTGGTTGCTGGTAAAGAAAGAGGAGAAACCCAAATCATTATCAGTCTGGGAAAATTTTGATGATAAACATTTCAGAAATGCTGTTGTGCCTTTGGATTATATTGTTCCTATGGAAAAGGATTGGAAGAAGGTGGCTATGGTACAAGGGAATAACCTATCACCAGAATTGAGTACTGATGATCTTCAATAACGAGTTTCGTCCTTAGGGAAAATCCGCCAAAAATATGAGAAACCTATGGTCGCGTTTTTCTTTGGAATCAAAGTCACTAGAGTACTTCCAATTTCCCAAGGAAGTGGAACGCCAACGTGAACTCATGACATACTGCCAATAAATCCATTGATACAATATCTCGACACTTCTTGATGAGAATCATATAGACTTCCATGGTCGTTCTCCTAGTGAGGGGAATGAGCTAGTCCTTCATTCTAGTTTTGGGATGCTAAGTTTACTTTGTAGACCAATCAAGGAAGAAAGGATGGATCTTGATTACCTATGTGATAGGGAATTGGTTCAAGCAAGCTATGATCAAGAAGATGAGAATGTCATTAACTTTGGGGTTCAAACCGAAGGAGATGATTCACTCATAGAAATTAGTGCTAAAGAGTATCAAGGGAGTTTGACTCTAGATGCTCCATGAAGATCATTGATCAAGCTAAGTGAGAAGAGTCATTTAGGTTCTTGAATGGACGGCCTATTTGATCAAAGTGTTCAAGATTGAGTCCATTGCTACACAATTGGATATGGTGCAAACTATCTCAATTGTTTCAAGTGTTTTTCTAATCTTTTGGGATCAATAAAGAGAATTCTACAAGTTTTGGAATAAATTGTAGTTTTCTACAACCTAAGGGACGCAAGACCAATATTCCACGTTTGGAAGGGCGTTCAAGACATTTTACTTTAATATTTGGAGTTGATTTTCGAATTAAGGTTATTGTCTAAGTCTAGGAGTTTATTTTCGAATTTATCTAGTTAAATAAATCATGTGGACTAAATTAAGCTAGAGTGTTTTGATTAGGAGTCTTAGATTCCTTCTAAGTATTATCCTATTTGAGGATAAGTCATTTAGATAAGGTTTTCTAGATTTTATATAGAGTCAAAGAGATCAAATACTCTTCTACTTCTACTCCTGCGTGAGATAAGATTAGAGAGTCCTAGTTGGTCTTCTTTTTCGGTGCTTATGGCTGAAATGGTAGCCTATAAATAGGGGGGTTTGGCCGAAAGTTAAAGCACCCTTGAGTGGTCATTTTTGTTGTCTTTCTAATGAAAGTTTTTCCTTTGAGGAATTTTTATTAAATGGTGTGTCCATTTTTCATTTGTCAAGTATGATTTAACCAAGAGGGTTTCCATCTTGTCTTGGATCTTTTGATCTTGCAGAAACCGTTTTATTCAAGTATGCTTCTTGATAGAATTTTTTTAAAGCTAAACTTCTTATTTTCATACTACTTCTAGTAATTCGATTGATGAGCCTTTCCTTTGGCTTGGTTTTCGAGTTCAAGATGTGTGTGTGTTCATGAGTTCCTTTGTGGGGTTTGTCCTACTTTTTGTTGGATGAGTTTTGCTTTGGCATAAGTATTTTGAGACAGTGTTTGTGTTGCATATCTTTGTGGTTATGGAGATTACTAATCAATAGTATTCCTTCATAGTTGTGTATTGTTTGCTCCTACCTTTCTTGAGTCTCTTGAATTGATGATTGATCGAGTATATTGAATGGTGTTCTTACTATTCTAGTGTGGGTTGTTATTTAATTCGAGTCTTTCATAGATTATGTGTTCTTTGCTTGATTTGAGTTAAAGAGATAGAAATTCTTAGATAAACGATCGTCTTCCTGTGAATTTTCCGCACTCTTTTGAATTTCATGGGATAGACAAAATTATCTTCGTACTTTCTTGTTGATGGTTGCATTAAAGAAATTTGTTTCATCAACGAGATTGCTATCACTTCCTGTATAAGTCACCCCCAAAGCCATCCGAACCCGGATAGCACTACTTGGATCCAAAGTAAACACCGCAGCCCGAACTTCCTCTAGTTCCAATGGAGCAATCAGAATCAATCTATCTTCATCTGTGGAAAGAGAAGAAATTAGTTTTAGCAACAATGCTTGCACCTCCCTACTACCGGAACTTCCTCATGTGTCAACAAGTTTCTAAAAAAATCTATAGCTTCATGTTCAATTTTTCTATGACTTTGTAATCAATTCCCAGTTAATGATTGGATTTTATGAATAAGTTTTTTCTCAGGCAGGATCACATGAAATAAGCCGGTGTTAGAATCCCCCTCTTTGTGCCGCTTTAACATCAGTTTTTGCCTCCAAACATCTCCCCTTTCCCATAATTTTAAAATAGTTTAGCCTTGGCTTCTTGCAACTTTGTTTTATCTCCAGCACTCTTGGAAAATGTCATATTCTATTTTCAACTTGCATCCTCCTCCTCCGCTGATTTATGATTTCCAAAAACATTCCCGAAGGTGAGTTTATTCCACACTTTCAACTTTGCCTTCAATCTACGTAATTTAGCTTAAAAAGCTATCACACCATAAACTCTGCTCTTTGAAACCACTTGAATGAAATCGAAAAAACCTTTGCCCTACCCTAATTCCCCCTTTTTATAGTTTTTTTATTACTTAATGATCAAGCAACCAAATGTAGTTCCAGCCTGATTTCCTTCTCTCTCTCGGCCAAATTTATTTATCCACAATGTATTATTTTCAAATAAAGCCATCGAAGTTGTTAACTCATCAAATTTCTTCCCCCGTGAATTCCCCAAACCTTCAATAAAGTCCGAATTAAAAAAAAAAAAAGTCCACATCTCCAGCAATTTATAATTTACCTTCATTTGAAAAAAGAAAGAGTTAGTTTCTTGCATATCATCATTTTCAAATTAAGCACTAAATTCAACTCCAAGATACAAATTTTTATTAAAAAATTCTTCAAATGAGAGTAGGAAAATATAAACTAATTTAGCACTTATAATGAACATAGAGCTTGCAAACAATAAATCGGTGTCAACCTAAGGTCAAATGTTGAGCATCAACCTCAGACAATACAACCGGAGCTGTTTTTCCTTGGCTTGAGAGATGGAAAAATCAACATTTGTGGCTGCGGCCTAATCATTGTTGTAATGAAGCTCTCAGTTTTGGTGAGGTACGTCATCGTGATTCTGATCAATATTATTAACAAGGACTTAGTTTTTTGTGAGCTACCCCTTCTTAGATCTGCTCTGCATTATTCTACATTCCAAGCCCAACCATAGTCGCATCTTTTTTTTTCCTTAGTTCAACGGGTGGCAAGTCTTCTCGATCTCATGAATGTAGAGTAGTTCACCCGTGGGATTACTCTTGGTCATACAACATAAATTAAAACAGAGAAATATCAATGAATCTTTTTTTTTTTTAACTCAGCAACCAAAAGGACAAAAACCAGTAGCCACTAAGTAAGTAAATTTAATGAAACAACACAAAATATTCTATGCCGTCCCCGGCGACGGCACCAGACTTGATTAGTGCTAAATGCTTTTTCTGATTCACCCAACCATTACCTACTTGTCCAACTGTTGTTGAGCAATTTTTGGATATCAAACGGACCTTCCCAGAGGGTAATTTTAACGTGTCCGATTTCCCCTCTTTTGCAATCAGTTTCGTTACAACACCCACTCCTCTTGCTAATTGTCCACCCTTTCCAAGTGTGATGTCTATGTTATGTATGGACGTGCATAAGAGCATACCGTTTGAAGTAGATTCTTCTTTTTGGTCAAGCATCCCTATTGCTCTCAAGATTACGGGTTGCAACTGTAGTAGTGGAAATGGGTGTCGATCTCACCTGAAATTTATAGACTAATAAGTATGTGTTCACTTTAGTTCTCACTTAGTGTAAGTAACTAAAGTAAGAGAATGATTTCTAGTGACTTTAAGAAATTTGGAAAATAATGAAAATAAGAAAATGTTTTAAGCTTGAATTGATTGTGTTATGCGGGAGGGGGGGGTGAGGGGGGTGTACTGAATCACAATTACCACTTCATTTATCAACTAATCATTAAACATATATTGGTCACTAAATTATGGCCGGTTCTCCTACGATATTCTCTAGTTTCTTCCAAAGTTGAGAGGGTACCTCTACAATCTATCACATGGCTCTATATTGAAAACTCACTCCATAGAGCAATCCTCGTCACCCTATAGATTAGTGATAGAGTTATGAGAAACACAACTCTCAGTTACTTGGTTTCCAATTAAATCTGCGTAGTGGCTTCCCGTCACTCGGCAGAGTGCATAGTTGTTTGTCCAAATTTACTTCAACTACACAAATTCTCCTTTTCAGCCACTTTAAGGTGCATTTTGATCACACTGCTTTTACAAAATAGATAACAAATAAACTACATTAGGTAAGAGTAAGTTGATATAAACTTATGCACTTTGCAACCAACCCAAAACTGTAAAACATATAATTATGTGTGATTTGCATTCTTATCGTTATTCTATTTTATTTTTCATAGAAAACTAAAGAAAGAAAGGATGTCATGTATTTTGTGATAGAGAAAAATAATACTAGGCTCTTTGAACCTATTTAAATCATATGAATCATTTTTTGTTATACTTTCCATAGTGTAGCTTGTGTTTTTATATAAATACAAACTTACCAAAAGATAAGAAAGAGCCCTGATGAATATAAAATTGGTGCATATATAATACTTTAGTTGTCACATATAGTGTTTTACTAAAAGTGTCACAAAAAAATAAAAAATAAAAAGGGAAACCAACAACAATGCCATAATATATGAAAACAAGAAAGCACATGAAAAATTTCAATCTTTAATTACTGCAAAGACCATGACCCATTATAACATGCACAACTGTTTTCTTTAATTTTTTCTGTTGATGCATTTGTTTTAACATTTCAATTGTATGTCATTGATATAAGATTATGGTTACTTTTAGTAAACATAGATACAATGAATATTAATTTTTATCTAAGTCAAACAACATAAAAAACAACGAGCTAGTTGGAATCACAACGCCAAAAGAAGTTTTAACAAAAACAAAAAAAAGAAAAAAAAAAAAGAAAAGACTTCTTCACTAACTAAAAAAGAGCTTACACTAAATTACTAGCCAAACAAAAGATTTTATTTACAGAGAATAATGATCAATTAATATCTAACAACAATCGGGAGATGCTTCAACAAGCTGAGATAAGTCTA